TTTAGTTTTGAAAACACTTGTTCACACTTAACTTGTGTGCATGGAAATATAAGAACATATTTTAATGCTATGTACAGTGTATTGAATAAGCCCGTTTTAGTTGAAATATTTTTGGTAAACAGTGATTACAATTTTGTTCAATGCTTACATATCTCTAAGAGTTGTACCCGATTAGAATTTTAAACACATGCATATTTTTTATTACGTTTACAATTGGCTATGGGCCCCTAATATTGAAAAATATCGAAGGGCCCTCGGCGATCGCCGGGTAGCCGGTTGGGCCAGACAGACACTGCCTATAATCTATAAACGGAGTAACATCTATCCCGYCACGGTGCGAGTTCTGAATTCCTGCAACAACGAGACGACGACTGCAGTGACTTGTGTAAGAGCTCTCGTAAACGTCCGTTTTTTACCGGATACCGGTCCGGCGTAAAACGGATGGTTTTGTTGAGGAAACGTTAAAATAACGGATATACTTCCGTTGCCTGTAATATGTTATCGATTATCTGTAATTAAATTTAGTCAGTTCCAAACAAGAAGCGGCTGAGTATAGAGTCTAGTCAAATGTTTACTAGAAAGAAAAAGGTTATAATAGCGTACTATTTGTACAAAAAAAATGCAGCAGAAAGAAAAAAATGTGGGTACATCCTATTTTATTGCAAAGAAAAAGTTATGGTATTTTCTACACTGTTTTTGAAGATTTAAAGAAAGACGAAACAATGTTTTTTAATTTCTTTCGAATGAGTCAAGTAACATTTCAAAAATTATAAACATTAGTACAAGATAAATTAAGGCATATGTTGATACTGATATACGTGAATCTATTACACCTGCTGAACGATTGGCTGTTACCTTAAGGTATGTATGAATAATATAATTWAAAAAATATAATAATTGTTATTATATTTTAATAATATAAAAATATAATATCGTCCCCATTTCCAAGTCCAAAAACATGATTTTTGAGAATCACCTTTCCCCAATTCTTTCAAACTTTAAATGTACCTATATAACCTAACCATTTATTATAGTTAAAATACAACTACTACTAAGTTGGATTTTGTGATTTTTGCATAGTATATATGGACTTGGTGAGTTTTGCAGGTATTTAATTGTTGATCTAGCACACTATAAATGTATCAAAATTAATTCATTTGCACACAATTAGTTCACAATTAGCGGACGATTTGGTAACCGTTTATATTTATGTTTGTTTAATATTCACACTGGCGGGGCGAGGCAAGAAAGGCAGTATGAAAACGGCCCTGTGGTCGACCTGCACGCCGYCGGCACTCGCGCTTGCGTCGCTGGCCGCAATATCAAGCAAGGCGTACTAATGTCGGCCATRCTGGCGCACGTCATAGCAGCCGTGTGCGCGCTCAAAGGCCACGGTGGAGTTGGTGGCGGACGTGGTTACGGAAAAAGGCATCGCATTACGATTTACGAGATCATCACC